TACCCAATTTTTTGTGGAATATTGTAATGAAGTGACCTGAATGTAATATATTTTGTGATACATTTCCCGGAATTTTCTTCATTTTTCCAAGCATTTGCCGAAATTTCCATGGTTTTCTATTTTTGGGGAGGAGGGGAGAGGGCAGTTAACCCCTCTGCTCCTCTGTCTCGTACACCTATGCACGGGAAAACCAGTAAATATTTGCAAGAACTAGCTAAGAACTAAGTACTAGCTCATGCATTCATTAAGAAATAGAAAACATTTTCCGTGTTTCTATAGAGTTATAGAAACACGCGTGCTAGTTTGGGAGAACGAGAAATAATCAGTGGGAACACGAGCACGTAGTGCGAGTGTTTCCACGTTATTTCGAGTTCTCCCAAACTAGTACAAGTGTTTCTATAACTCTATAGAAACACAGGAAAAAATGTTTTCTATTTTCTTTATTAAATAACCTTGTGATAATAACGCAAAAACAATATTTTTAACGCGATTAAAAAGTATATTCTCATTACGCAATAACAAGAAAATGTTGCCTAGCAATAACACCGGCATCAATTTTCAGTTTTGCCGACTGCAAAATTATGGAAAAAACATACTGAAAAAGTTGATTTAAAGAAAATTTAAAGCGAAAAAACATTTGGTAAGTGTTTTCCATTGCTTGTTTAAAAAATTTCAGGTTGACGAAGATTTTTAATCGATATTTCAGGCGAAAACGTTTGTTTTAGTGTGTTGTTTCGAGGTTCGTGGAAAATTCCCGTGTTCTATAGCGTTATAGAAACACGGGATTTTTCGCTTTTCAACCACTCAGCGCAGGCGTTATTAAAAGGTTATTTTATAAAAACAAATATTGGCTGTGACATGTCCAAGGTTGAAAACTAGCGAAATAATGTTTTCAAAACAAGAAAAGAAGGTCTCCGAGACCAGCTCTCGCTATGTCATGGTCATGCAGCAAAAATGCCCTTATTCTCTTGTTTTTTTTTGCATAATTAGATTTTCGTAGAACATCATAATTTATTTTGTTCCTTTCCATTCTAGACATTCTGTATAGCCGTTTCCATATTATTATATTTCTTTGTACTTGCTCTTTTTGGTTGGATGCTATGTGAAGGAATTATCATTTACTTTCAACTCGTGAAAGTCTTCTCAGGAATGGGTTTGGGAGGAAAACATCTGAAGAGATTCTATGTTATTGGTTGGGGTAAGCAACATTGGAATAAGATTTATAAACCGTCTATCGCCTGAAAATTCTTGGATTAGTATTAATATACTATGAAGCAAAATAAAGAAGTATTAAAATAGGTTAAACTAGAGCGTGCCTCATACACCTCTCCAGCGAAATCAACTTTTCATACACAAATAATAGATGCATTAATTACGTGTTCAGATCTTTCAACCTGGTAAAGCAAAACAAAGATGTAATTGATTTGTCTTTGCATGGCCCCAGAGGTGGATAACGTATCGGAACTTGGGCAGTGCCTTTTTTAAGGAATTTTCACTGCGTGGAGGGGGGGCAAAACAGGAAAAAAGGCAGAACGAAAATTATGAGCGTCGAGGTTTGGCGAACGCGCAAGTCTGAAGAGAGATTTTGTAAAACTTTAATTTATTAACTTCACCTATATTTTACTTTAAACAATAACTTCAACTCTTTGTAGCTATAATCGTACAGCTATAACCAGTAGTGTAGCCAGACCTTAATTTTTTTTGGGGGGGGCGAACCTCACCTCACGCCGAAGGCGTGAGACCGTCTAGGAGGGTCCGGAGGCATGCACCCCTGGGAAAATTTTAAAATCTAGGGTCCCTGAATTGCGATTTCAAGCATTTTGGGAGTGAAATCTAGCAAAATTCCGAAGATTATAAAGTACATCGAAGACACGAATTTTTCCAGACATTTCTACTTGGAATTAAATAAATTGGAAAAGTCACCTTGAAAAGTAGGAGGAGGGGTCAGTGTCACCTTATTTCCTCTCTGTGACGCTGGGGGGGGGGGAGAAAATCCCAATGTGATTTTGATCAGAAATGTTGCATTTAAATCATTTTAGGTTCTATGAGACACCATTTCCGCATTCTCAAAATTGCGTTGCTTTTTCATACGATACAGAATAAATGTGAGAAGAAATATTCATGCTATGCATGATGATGCATACATGTATCTAACAGTTAAAAATCTAAAATAAATCTATTTTTCTTTGAACCGGCATTTTATCGGATGGTTTGCATGAAATCTATCGCTATTATGAAATACTCGGTGAAGAACAATATGAATTACACACAAGATGGCTGTGGAGGAGGCTATGGAAGGGCATAATCTCATTATCAAGTAAATCAACTGCAATTCCAACAGCAATCATGAGCAATTCTGCTTCGCACTTCGGGGGCAGAAATGCCTTTACTGGGGGGGGGGATTCTTTCCCTGGGGGGCAATTGCCCCCCCCCCCGAGATATATAGTTAAAAAAGGCACTGAACTTGGGAATCTAGTTCTTTGGGGATCTACATTTCTGCAGTAATTTTCACAGACATTTTTTGTTTGATAGCTAACTCTTAGGATTATACTAATTGAAGAATAATGCCTGATTATTGAATTGATTGATTGCCTACTAGTTAATCTACTAAGTCAATGCCTAAATTACATTTTTGAATTACTACGGCAGGCTACTGAGTTCAGAACAATTCTGACCGTGTATAGCCTGCAGCTGTAATCTGTTTTTAATCATGTAAGACTGTAACTACTGTGACTTTAGGTTGTGTCATGTATGCCTTATCGGTCTTAATCTAATAATAAATATCAATGCCCAGCATAATGTCCGTATAATCAGTAGCGTGAAAACAATTAATTTCTAAAGAAATGAATAATGATAATAATTTTGAATTTGCATAGCGGGACTAAATTGTCGGGCTGGCTACGCCACTGCGTATAATAATAGCCATAACAAAGAGAAATTTTCATCAATTTAATGATTTACAGAACTAACGTTTCGTCTTGCACTTAAGACATCTTCAGAGTAAAGAATGATATAAAATTACAAAGTTATATATGCATGAATAAATTACAATTAATTACAGAGTATAGAATTACAAGTATAATCTAATGAAGAAAGGGAGCGGAAGTATGGAAAGGGGATTAGAGTAGAAGAAGGGGGACTGAACTGCCTTGTACGTTCAGGGTAGGTTTAAGTTTGGAAATGCGAAGGCTTTCATGGATCATAAGCTCGTCAGAGGAAGAGCAAGATGAAAGAATTTTAAAGTCATCAAGGGAAGCCGTATGACCAGTATTGTTTAGGTGTTGAAAAATGCTGGTCAATTTTGGGTTGCTGCTTTTGTTACCTGTTAGAGCAGAGATACCTTACTTAAATTAAGTGTTCAGATACGCCTTTTTGCTTCACACGATAACGCATCTTAATAAATATAATTCACTAAAAAAGCTAAAAAAGCCAAAAAGGCAGTCCCAAAAAATAAAGGAATACCGAATGGTTTTCCGTGCAGGATTGCGTGATCCATGCACGAGGGATGTTGCGAGACTTTCGGAAAGCGTAAAAATGTAGGCGAGTGTATTTTTACGCTTTCCGAAAGTCAAGCAACATCCCAAGAGCATGGATCATGCTATCCTGCACGGGAAAACCATTTGGTAATTGTTTTATAAAATTACTACAGTGAAACGACGCTTAACTTGATTGAAATTACTGATGAAATGTGCAGTTCTCACAACATTCGTGAATTAACCAATCAGAGAATCGCTACTCCACGCTATTGAAAACAACAACATATGTGAACAGAATTTGATCGCAAATTCGCGAAAGTATACAGCGAAAATACAGGGACTTTTTCGATAAAATATACGAAATTTGAAATGGAAAACCCGCTAAACAGAGAGCCAAAGTAGTTTTGAATATTCTCGACCTGAATATGTGAAGATTGCGAAGCGTTTGATCAACTTTGAAGCGAGAGATGTTGTACTTGCATGCCATGGTCGGATGAATTTCAACGCTTACGCGTTGCTACTTGCTGAATAGCAATGTATCGATCAGAAATTTATTCATACAACTAAACCAACTCTCAATAATTGGAAACTTACTTCAAAGTCGAAAGGTATCGTACAATGAAACTTTACAATGCGAGTATATTTGTAAAATTATATGCAATAATTTCTGTTCAGAATTTTCCGTGCAGGATTGTCTGATCCTGCACGGCTGTTGACCAATCAAATTGCGTGTTTCACTGTAGTTATTATATAATACTTTTTTCCCTATTTACTGTAATCGTTTGCAGAAAGTTTTAAGCCCTACACCCATGTTCACAGAAAGAAGGAACATTTTCCGCTTCTGCTTTGGCTTATTCACGTAAAAACGCACACGTACGTAGCAAACCTGCAGCAGACTTGTAGTAATGCTGCAACTGAACTTGTCAACAGGATGTGTTCGCACTGCTTGTCCCAGCTTGTTGACAAATTGCCAACGGTTTGTTGGAAACTTGCTACAAAGTTGTCAAGCTAACAGACGTGTTAAAAGTTGTTCCAACAACTTGTTATGGTCCTGCAATCAGTCAATAATTTGTTCACAAGTTGTGAGTGACAACCGTGTAGAAACTTCATAAAATAACAACATTGTTACAACTTTGTTGACAAGCTTGCTACTTGACGAGTTGTGAGATTTTTACGTGTGCACGACTATTATAAGTTCGACTCGCACTGCACGTATAAGAATGACTAGTATTCACCCCCCACTTTACTTAAAGAAATGTCGCTATCAATTTCTATTTAGGTATCCCAGTTGTTGTCGTGTCGGTGTTGGTTGGAGTAAATGATCGAGAGGATTTTATAACCGATGATGCATGTTGGTGCGGTGGTGATGGTGTGTTGTTCTGGGTTTTTGTTGGTACCTTAGGTCTAATCATACTGGTAAGCTTATTTTTCAAACGTCATTACAATTTTTAGCGCGGTAGAGCTAAGTATACAAATGTAGCGAGCTCTACAGGTACAGCGGTGGTCCCATATAACGAACACCTTGGGACCGAAACTTGTTGTTCATCGTTTGGGGGTCTCCCCGCTATTTAGAGATTTAGTGTGATCGCGTTTTGCCAACAAAACGTCGTTTTGGGACATACCTGTACATTTGCTTTGATGATCGTGTTGGAAAACGCCTTAATTAAAAAGAATAACACGTTCCTGTGTTTAACGTTCAACCACAAATGCCTCAAAAAAGAAGGGGAAAACTGAGATGAACTGCTTAATTTGTAGTATATTATCTTTGCTTGCATACGGGGCCGATTCTTTTTGAGTGTGTTACTCTAAAGTTTGCCCAATAAATTGAATTTAATATAGTTTGTGCTAAATTTGCCCAACTTATGATTACTTATCTTGACTTTTATCAGCATTTCGCCGTCTTGACTCTTGACAATTACTGTCTTGACAATTGCTAAATAATTTTTGGGAACAGCAATTGCCTACCCTGCCCTTGTCTCGTACGTAATTATCTCGTACGCAATGTTTATCTTGAGTTACTTTTTTCAGGTCAATTTGGTCATCTTTATTCTAGCCTTAAGAAATACTTTATCCAACTGCGAAGTTACTTCAACCAGTACACAAGGCAGCGAAACAACTACCAAGGCAACGGTTTGTACCAAGTTAAGAAAAGCAAGAATTGGTCTCAAAGGTTCAGCTGTACTACTGCCAATACTTGGACTCACTTGGGTGTTTGGTTTACTGGTTTTCAATCGAGATACAACTGTGTTTAAATATTTATTCGCCATCTTTAACTCTCTACAAGGACTGATGATATTTGTTTTTCATGCATTGCTTATAAATAGAAAGGTATGCTTTTGGAACATTTTTATATAATTATTTCGTTCCAAGTAAAAAGAACCCTGACAAGAATCTACTTCGTTACATGCCTATTTCCCAATATTTATAGTGAACTTAAGCAAAACTTAATCTAGTACAGGGACGTGTCAAGAAACCGCCTTAAATTTTACACTTTTAATAATTATAAAGAACTGCTGTCTACCGTTATTAATAACTTTAACAAGCAGGACGAAAGTGCAACGAGAACAACTAATAATATCATATTAATGCAAACAAAATGAGCAGAAAATAATAATTAATATTATACCTCAAATTCAAATTGTCCAATGAAAAAACAGCATTTGTACCACGTGATAATGTGATTTTTTACGGTATTTCACTCAAATTCATTATTTCGCAATCCAGCGTGGGATACTATAATATCCCACGGCAGATCCACCGTGGGATATTATAGTATCCCACGCTCACGCGTGACGCGTGGACACCACGCTCTGAAACAATATCTCTGTGACAATATGGCGTTCGCGAGCTGTTGTTTGTAATTTCGTATTTTCGTACAGAATATTTGATTAACAAAACATTTTCAAGACACATTTTGCCTTTTATGATCCAAAGGATACATGCTTAAATATTTAAAGAGGAAACGTCGAAAACTCAGGTATACATAAGAAATTAAAAATTGTATTCGCGTAGTTTAATAATATTCAGCAAGTTTTAAAGTTTATTCTGAACTTAGTGAGTTCTTTAACTTTCGGTATAATATATCATTTATAGACCCTCCGCTCGGGGGATTCGGCGTAATATTTCCCTCAGTGATGTTATTTTCCTCCTCCCCTCGGAAAATATCATCACTAGCTTCGGGAAATATTACGCCGAATCCCCCTCGCTCCGGGTCTATAAATGATAAAAATCCCACGGACGTTTTAGACATCACCGTAGCTCTGTTTTACAACGGCAAAATACAGATCACGTCTTGTATAGAACGATCACAGTTCAAGCTCAGAAAATTGCTATTTTAAGGTGGCTCCCTAGGGTTTTATTTCCGGGGGTTACGTTCTTCGTATATATGTAAACTAAAACTCGTGTGACTTTAAAATACGAACGACCGTATATGGAACTCTTTTTTGAAACAAAAGTGTGAACTTTGCTTTAGTTGAAACCATAAAAAGAGTTCTAAAAGCTAAAACGATACTTGGATGTGATGTTTCAAAAGAAGATAATGTAAACTTGTTTTTTTTTCAAGCGGTATTCTGGAAGTTTTTTGAACCGCCGTACGCGAGGTTCGATCGCGAACATTGGGATATGATATAAAGTTTCCTCAAGAATTTGCAGTGTTTTCTCCACAATCTAGCAGCACTTATGACAATAAAGATGACTTAAATAATGAGCTTTGAAATTTGAACGGGCATTTTGCGAAAACATCCGACGATAGACATGGGCGTACCGGGCGGGGGGCGGGGGGAGGGGGGGGGGGCGGCAGCCCCCCCAGTTTGTTGGGCAAACAAGACCAGTCGGGCAATATTCGCTTCACAGTTGGGTAAATGATTGTCGTACACTAGGGTGATTAAAGGTGTATTATAAAAATAAGTCTTCTCAATATTGACAATATTGCTCATTTTTAGACTTCGTACGTGGTGTTTCACGTGCGTTTTTCCTGATCGGAAGTAAATATGGGGCAGTTTATACACTGTCCCATATTTTACTTCCGGTCTGGAAAAACGCACGTGAAACGCGACGATTAAAATTAGTCTGAGCTTGACATTTTACATGTTTACATTTTTTCTTTACCGTTTGATTGTTGAGTTTAGCAAAACATATAACTGATTACAACAGTATAGGCAGGTAGGTCGTACGTAAGCAAATACTTAAATATATGAATAATAACATGATTATATTTTATATATACATGCTAAAATATATTGAAATATAAAAACTGAGCGGCATTGTTGTGTAATTGTGCATTTGTGCATTATGACTTCCTGGATTTAATATAAACCGTGAAGAATACGATTTTTCATTATATCCGAATTTGCACCGTAATATTTAGGTTTACTTTTGCTCTATATGACTCGATAAAATTAGCTTAGACGGAGTTATACGCCAGGACGGAAAATCGAAAGACATACATTACAGTATGTCTTTGTTGTATTTAAGGCTATGCCTACAGGACATTTCCTGTGGCGTTCTGCGGAGAATGCAGCTAAAATAGTTGTTTTAATTTAAAAAAACGTGTTCGTCTTTGTTTAATTTTGGATATTTAGTGTATAATGTATATTATGAGCGATTCAGGCAAAATAATTTGAAATATATTATAGTAATCAAACAAGTCAATATATGAATATATCTGACGAACGGCGAAATAATCGGCTTTGACCTTTGTACAATTTATACAAAGGTCAAAGCCGAACAAGTTTTTAAAACAACTATATAGCTGTACAAAAATGTTATTTTCGAAAATATATCTTAAAACCGACAGGATTAGGAGAACAACTCAAAGACGTGAAGGTACCGAGTTCTTAAACTTTCCGAAACCTGAATAATTCTTAGATTATTTTATTGTTTATTAATTTGACAACTTTATTATATTCTGCATGCCCTGGGCCGTGGCGAACATTTGGTGAAAATGTAGCTATGGTATAATAAATGTATAATAGCATCATATAGAGATTTTCCGCGGGAAACCACAAAAGGTGCACTGTTACATTATCCGGTTAACCCGTACCTCGTCGTTCGTTCAACTTTACTAACTTTTACGCAATATGCACTAGTACGCAGTAGTAGACTGGTATAGTTAGCACTTTTCCATGCATGCTCTACATTTGATTTCAGGATTCTCAGATCTTAACGAGTTTCAGTCATGTGGACGACCGTCGACCGAAGATCACTTTAAATTAACCAGTATCTTAAACTAGTCATGTAACTGTCTTAATATGTCATCTACACCTTGTACTCGTAAACGACGTTATCGTCAATATCGGATAAAATGCGACGAGTGCCAGAGCGAAATGAACACAGACTACCGAGATATTCATACGAAAAATGCACACAACGGCAAGAAAATCAAGTTCAGTCCAGTGGTAGAACCTTCACAGATTCAGTTACACAGTTTTTTCACAAGAACAGGCACATCGACGCGTGGAAGTGACGTCAGCGAGGATACTGTTGAGGAAGACAGTAATCGTTTCTCCAAAGACTGTACCGCTTTACCAGAGAAGTCTATCGAGATCTAATCGATATCCCACCCAAGTGTAATTCACAAGCCAGTCACAGAGCTTAGAGACAAATCCAAGACAAGCAATGCAAACATAGACCAGAACCAAGCCGGACAATCGGATCTATTAGCAACAGCAACAGAACAGCAACAGCAACGGATTGACGAATTAAAAATCCTTGACCAAGAAATGGTTTGTGTACCACCTGCGGGAACAAGTATGGTGTCCGGCAATCCTGACACTGATAATTTTAAGTTTGAGAGTGACATAACTGAAAAACCACTTGTGTTTAACACCGATACATCGTCAGCAGCTACCTCCACAGCTACTTCCACAGCTACCTCCACAACTACCTCCACAGCTACCTCCAGGGCGCCAAATCATCCAATTCAATCAAAATATCCAACGAGAACATTTGGAAATGAAACCTTCACACGAAAATTCAATACCGAATGGTACAAGAAATATCCATGGATAAGCTATGAAACTAAAGAAGACAAGTGTGTATGCTTTCCTTGTAGAGAATTTGAAAAGGACGATTCGTTTGTGTTTAACAATTGGAAGAAACCAGAGAAGCTATCTAAACATGGGAAATCTCAGAAGCATATCACGTCGATGACCAAGTGGGCATTGGCTAAGGCCAACCACAAGATGAACACATCCGTTCTAAAGCAAATAGACAGTGCTCATAAGCAATATGTTTTCAGGAATCGACAATACCTCCAAGTAATAATCGAGTGTCTGATGTATAACGTTCAGCAAAACGTTGCCATAAGAGGACATGAGGAAGATAGAAAACATATTTGGGAGGTCTCTGATATTAACAGAGGGAATTTCCTTGAGCAGCTTCATTTTAGATGTAAGGATTTGCCATGGCTAAAAACGAAGCTCCAAACTCATCATGAAGAGCATATCCAGTGGACATCGCCAAAAGTACAGAACGAGCTCATTGAAATCGTGTCGAGCTTGGTGCTACAGAGGATTACACGTGATGTCAAAAGCAGTGGCCATTACAGTGTCATTGTTGACGAGACATCAGACATAAGCAGAACGGAGCAAGTATCTCTTTGTCTTCGATACGTCGTCGAAGGAGAAACACGAGAGACATTTGCCGGATTTTTTGCGACTGAATCAACCGAAGGTGAGGTCCTATATGAGCTCGTGAAGGAATCGATCACAAATCTCAACTTGCTGTTAACCGATATTGTTGGAGAATGCTTTGATGGTGCGGCGAATATGAGTGGCTGTCATAAGGGCGTAGCATCGCGAATGAAAGAATGTTCACCACTTGCTCTATATGTCCATTGCTATGCTCACCGTCTTAACCTCGCTCTTCAGGATACAATGACCAGTATCGAGCCAATTCGTAACGCTCTTGGGACAATACAGAGTCTGTATAATCTTATCGAAGCAAGCCCAAAGCGCCACAGTATATTTCAGAACATCCAGGTGGAAGAAGAACATTCCGATCTAACCCTCAAATCCATGAGTGTGACCAGGTGGTCGTGTCGCTGGCAGGCAGTTAAGGCAGTGTTTGAGCAAATGCCGAGAATTATTAGAGCTTTGCTTAGTTTGTCGTCGGATCGTGATGTGAAGACGTATACTGATAGCAATAACCTGCTTAATGCAATTTGTGATTTTAAATTTGTATTTGGTTTAGTAGTGCTCAGAGTAATCCTTTCCAACACTGATAGCCTTAGTAAATATCTGCAAGGCAAGAATGTTGATGTGATCACCGCTAAGGAGACCGCCGACGGTACAATGGAAGCATTGACCAAGTGCCGGAATGAAGAATCTTTCCAGATGGCGTGGTCCAGAGCTAAGATCCTGTCGCAAACGATAAAAAGGGAAATTAATGGAACCACGTTTTCCTTTAAAGATGCCACAGCACCAAGATGCAGACAGCCATCGCGTCGGTTACAGGCTCTTGTTGGAGAACAATTCAGTGATGGCTTACCATCACAACCAAGCGCCGAAAGTCATTACCGCGTCACAACGTATTACCCAACATTCGATAAAGTTCTCCTCGAGATGAAATCACGATTTCAGAGTCATGATCAAGACATCTTATGCGCCCTGGCTGAAGTTGTTTCTAAGACTAATACTTCAACGGAAAGTCTAGCATTGGTCTCTTCTTTCTACGGATTAGACATGGAGATACTTACAGCTGAAAAAGAAATCTTCCAGAATTTTTTGGAGAAGAACCCAGCAGAGATAAAACATGCGTCTTCCGTCATCAAATTCATGTTTCAAAATGGGCTTCATGAAGTTTTACCAGTGCTCTATAAGGTGTGTTCAATTTTGACAACAATTCCAGCCACATCATGCTCAGCCGAAAGATCTTTCAGTGATTTACGCCGCATAAAGACCTACCTTCGCTCCACGATGCGCCAAGACCGTTTGAGCAGCCTAGCACTTATTTGCATTGAACGTGCCTACGCAAACAGAACACTTGAGAATGACATGGAAAACATTATTGACATTTTCGGCAAGAGGAAAAAGAGAAATTCGTATTTCTTTTGACAATTGAGATTAGTCTATTTTGTACGGACTACGAATATTACCTCCGGATAACATTTTCAGTTAAACTTTAGTTAGTAAGTCTTTTTTATATTAGGTGTTAATCAATATACTGTAAGCCCAATGATATCTTAGACGATGTGGACTTGTCGTTGTTGTCTATGACAACTTTACTTATAGTCACGATAAAAAGGGAAATTAATGGAACCACGTTTTCCTTTAAAGATGCCACAGCACCAAGATGCAGACAGCCATCGCGGATATATATATTACATGATAAATTAACTTGTGAATGTATTATGTATACGCATTAATTAAATTTAACGTGAATATGAGTATCAATTACAAAATAAAAGTCGGGCGATCTTCTAGATAGTCGGGCAAATTGCCGACCGCCCCCCTGAAAAATGTTGGCCGGTACGCCCATGACGATAGACGATAGTATTAACTCGCACGGGACGAATTTTCAGTTGACAAACATTTTTCAAATTAATACCAAGAAGTCATAACCAGTAATTACCTAAATATCTTTGCCAATTTTACATGTATTATCCACGCTTAGTTGACCATTAACCGACACAGTTATAAACAGTATATCAAACATAATTTATATTTTGTGATTTCAAAAAAGTCATGCCTTGTTGTTTTATGCAGAATGCATGTACACGTCAGTTGGGGTATTAAATTGTTCGCGTAAGAATCTAGTAAAAATTGCCAAAATTAAACCCAAATTTCTCTGTTTTCCTTCGGTAAAATGCTTTAAAACTTTGCACATTTTTTAATATCGGCACAACAAGTGCAATATCCTTTTTTCTTAAAATTAAATCGAAGGGAAAATTTTTAATATTGATTTTTGACGTTTTTTAAATTTTCTAAGAAACGTATCGATTTAATTTTTTTAAATTGAGGGGAAAAAATCACTATACAAGTATTATCTTTTATGCAAAGTTTTAAAAAATTTCACCGAAGGGAATTTTTAAAATGACCTGAAAAAGATAAATTTTGAGCTTTATTCTAAGCATGCTGTTGCCATGACAACATATTTTTAACACAAAAGTAGCAATTTGCAATGTTCAGGAGAACATTGTCAATGTGTCCAATAAATTTCGTTTTCATGTCATGTAAAGTAAAGAAACAGGAGTCTCCTGAATACTATAGTGTAGTAAATTAAAAAACCCTAGGGAGCCACCTTAAATTGGGTCCTAGAACTTTTCTCAATCATAAACCCTGTGTTAATCTTAATCTTTAAATTGTATTAGTTTCATACGACGGGTAACATGCGGCATGCAGGTTTCCTTCTGCAATCATTTGGTCCAATGAGTTTGTTTGCCGTTGCCGTCGCGTTCTCGTCTTACATGCTTAAGCTCGCTAATAATACTCATTAGTACATTAACAAAGTCCATTTACTTCGTCACAAGCCGCCACTGGTCTGGGGGTTGTATTTATGAGTTTTTGTGACTTGATTTTCTGCATTTTTAGACACAACACTTTTATCTTTTCCATCCACTAGACAAGTTTTCTTTAATTTTAAGGGGAAGGAGGGGGACAAATATGGGGGCAGGGGGTACATACTTGATACTTCTAAGAATGAAACATATACTATGTTTTCTTTATAGATGCACGAAGCAAGCAGCAGAGAAAGTGAAGCCCGCAAAGCGGGGCCAACTACCAATACCATGGCAGATATCACATGTAAGTATGAAACCAGACCTTTCGAGGAACGTAGAGTGATTCTTACACTTAGCGGGGGGGGGGGATTTTTAAACTTTGTAGCCCATAGATCGTCGGAAATGGCATTCTCAGACACTTCTCTACATTTTTCGTTTGGCCTCCTTATAAATTATTTCATTATACGCTACGCTATACGTGAGTCAGAATGGATTATTATTAGTAATTGGCCAATCAGCGCAATTCAATTATTTTGGGGGGGGAGGGGAAGCTATTCCGGTCCCCTTTATAAAATATTGGGTCGACGAAGTCGCGGGAAACATTGCGATTTGAGGGGAACAAGACTAACTCTTTCCCGAGAGAACAGACATTAAGTGTTTTCTTGTAATTATAGCGACAAAAGAAAAATCAACAACATCCATACAACAATCGTATAATCGTATATGATGACAAAAATGTAGTGTTAACGAGTTTAAAATTAAAAGAACCTACTTGAACGGTTTCAGCGGCATATCCTGTTGCCGGATGTGTATTTTCCTTCTCTTTTACATTCTTTATTTTAACACTAACTCGGAAAATCCTAGTTTATAAACTTGCGAGTTGCATGCCGCCATTTTGTTTATTTATGTACGTGTCCGGTTGGGACTTTTTGCCCGGCGGGATACATTGCATTTATCAAAAGCCAGGTGAGCAAAATTCAGTCAATCACGTTAGGTGTTCACCCTAGCTATATAACAATATAACTAGCTATATATTAATTTTATACCACTTCATTGTTTATTACAGCGCACCTACCTGGTAACGTTACGAAACTTCTTTATATTATTGTCCAAATAGTAGCCTATCCACTCAGAGATTTCCGATCGCAGTTCGGAAATGCACCTCAAAGCTATATTTTTTATTATAGAGCAATTTCTGATTAATATTGAAACTATAGTCTATACCGGCGCCAACAAATCACGGCTATTTTTATAATCTGAATGCAAATCCAAGCATTTCACCAGTCACGAGTGCCGAACTTCATCCGACTGGGTAGGCTGCTCTTGTTACACACATCGCAAAAATTGCGAAGATCGAAAACTTGCTGTTAAAAAATCATTTAGGGAAAGGTTTATCTATGTTATTTCTTTACTAGAAAATACATGCATGCAGAAACCCTCGCCTTGCTGACAAAACCATTGTATTTTCCGAACATGAAGTATCTAAAGTAGTTGTCATGGTAACATGATAATTTTTTAAGAATATTCTTACAAATGAAAAATCGCCTAAAATATTACTTTTAATTACAAAATTATTAATTTCCCAACATATATATGTTAGGTATGTTATTATACGTAATATAAGCCTCAATTTAAGGTAAAATTCAACCACAAACGCTTCGCAAAACGTTTTAAAGTCGTGTTCTTTATAAAACTAAACTGCCTTTTAGAATGGCTTTATCGATAAACTTTGAGTTTGCAATAAAGTTATTTAAAATTCTCGCTTGCAAATAACTTTGCTTTATTTTTTATTTAAAAAATTCAATATCATAAAAAAGGGAATCAATATTAAAGATACACTGAAATTATATGCTGTCTATACGCAAAGGCCGTCGCGTTTTAACTCCATTATAAAATCAATATTTAAAATAAACTTACCTTCGTAACTTAGCCGATTCTTTCGCAATTTCTTTCTCAGAGAGCTTTTGAAATTTACAAAATCTTGCAAAAATGCGAGCAAAAATGGAGTATATTTGCAAGAAATTTATCAATCATCAAATCAACTCAAGAAATGTTTGCTATTTCGCTGTCGTCATGCAGTTGTTATAATGCAAACTTTAAATTGGACCAATCAGTGTCCGCTATTCGTGACAGTCCGCCATGTTTTTGAGATCAGTGAGGATGACTACCCACCCAACACCGTTGGTCACCCACGCCCGCGATGTTTGATGAACTTTAGATCCGCTAATACTTTCGTTTCCCCGGGTGTAAATAGCCGGGGGGGGATGAGTACCCTCGCACGGCGCTTCGCGCCGGCGCCTCGGGGACTAGATATCTTTGTTCGTCTAAGAGAATACTAAACACGTTGTAAATAATCAAGTTATGTCGAAACGGTTAAATCAGAAGCATTCTAAGAAATCACGTGACAGGTGATTCAACACTTCTACCATATTACTTTATCTATTATTTAATATTGTTTGTGATGTTACTCTGAGTGTACATCCACATTGGGCGAGCTTGAAAAATATGCCCGGCCACCGTGCGAATCGAACCTACGACCTTTGGAATACTAGCCCAATGCTCTGCCAACTGACCTACGTGGCCAGGTCGGTTCGAGTATGTGATATTTCGGAACAGAATCTAGTTCCTTCGACACCAATGTAATCTAGTAATATGATTTTTTCTGTGTTGGTGTAGTGTACTCAGGTGAATATAATGTTTGTGATGTTAATCTGAGTGTATATCCACACCGGGCGAGCTTGTAAAATATGCCCGGCCACGGTGCGAATCGAACCTACGACCTTTGGAATACTGGCCCAATGCTCTGCCAACTGAGCTACGCGGTCATCACTTACTGGAACCGACCGGACCACGTAGCTCAATTGGCAGAGCATTGGGCTAGTATTCCAAAGGTCGTAGGTTCGATTCCCACCGTGGCCGGGCATATTTTTCAAGCTCGCCCGGTGTGGATATACACTCAGAGTAACATTACAAACATTATATTCACCTGAGTACACTACACCAACACAGAAAAAATCATATTATTTAATAATTATGCTATTACCTCATACGCGCCTGCATTACTTACCTGTTGACGATTCTATAGTACTTCATGTGGATAATATTTTTTGCTCTTTCTCCATACATATCGACATTCCTGCGAAGAATTTATGCAAATATTTCAAAGTGAGTTTATTATTTTGATTATTTTACACTTGTCACTGACCGTAGTTGAGCTCTCTGCGGCTATATCTGAAGAAATACAGACGAAAATAATTTTGAACTGCCAATCAGAAATAAAATTTCAAATGAGATTGTACACTGTATTTTTATTTCATTTCAATTTAATAGAGATATTGTTTACAGAATATAACTGAATGAATACTCGTGACTTTAATAATTCGCCGCTCAATTAATATTGCTTAACACAGGATTCGCTTAAGGTGGATCAATACTGTTTTTTATACAATGGAAGATTCGCGATTTAGATCCGTACTTTTGGACAAGTTTTATCATGACATCTTACTTAATATGTAAAACAATATTAAAGAGCTTGAAATTTTTCACAAAGTTTGTACGCAACTGTCATTGCAATGGCAACAGTGACGTTTGAAGATGGCAAATTTTGGCTTTAAAGTAATTTAACTCGTAAACGACATCGGTGACCCCTAAATTTTATTTCATGAAATGATTATTGAGCCACTTTAATACATGCAGGTTCGACTGTATGCGTTTTTGAACTAACAACTGTTAATAAGTTGATGCTTACTTTTTCATTCTTGTGTAGATCTTACTTCTTTAACTAATGAAGAGACCACCGGAAAATCCAGAATTCCAGTTCCAAAAGACATCACAGCATTCTGACCACCAAACGTAAGGATAGATTGGTAGCTACACGATCGGAAATTGCGGTCATAAATTAATCAAGCTAAAATGAGCTAACTCATCTTAATAGAGCATGCGTAGATTAAAGTACTGAATATTAGTGAGGCAACTACTTAGGCTAATTACTTCAAGATTGGTAAAGTTATTGGGTATAATTTTGAGGTTAACAACCATATTATAGATATAGGTGATTCAGGACGAATCAAGAACACTTTAAACCGTGCAAACTGAGCCTTATTTTGTTGCAAAAGATTAAAATAAAGCCAAACAAAACTGAGCCCACGATGGCATGTAGTGAATAGTCAGCGATTTAGCAATATCTCTGTGCAATTTCTGACAATGCCTCTTGATCCAGGCTAGCAACTGGGGCCGGTTGTATAAAAAGCTTAATTACTTCTTTAACTACCCATCCAACCTCGCAAGAAACTTCCACGAGTTTCGCAAGAAACAAAACAAGATCTCCTAGGCGCTCCTCAATTTTCGCCACCTTGACCCCATGACCCCATAAACACCTGCGCTACTTGTTCGTCGCGATGCACTACTTCATCTAAATCTTTTATTTTGTGACTTGTATGTGTAATCTTTTTATAGCGCCTGGGGACGAGGCAGCAACCGCCCCTTAATTAATAGATTGAATAGTAGATGTAATAATTGGTAGATCGAATGTTAAAATATGATTATTAAAAAATAAAATTGTTCTAAAAATTTGTCTGAGCTTTCGTCGTCTACGACATCTACGATAAAGTTCTCGTACTTCTATTTTTAAAATTCAGTCTCTGATGATGTCGTAGACGTCTTCGAACAATTTTAGTTTTCAATAATAAAATTTTAACATTCTTAACTACTAATTATAAGTTCTAGTAGCTCAACGGCCTCATTTGAATCAAACCACATTTAGTTGCATTTCAAATGTGATCATTTGTTTATTGGTTTCTTTTTGCCTATATAAAACTTTGATTTTTGTCAATAGAGCTGGTGAGAAAAATACCAAATTGTGGTACTTTTTAGGATATAGAATAAGGGTTGTATTCTTTATTCTATAGATCAATATCCAGGACCGTCGCAAAGAGGGGGAGGGGGAATTGGAGTCAGGTCAAATTTCATTAGATGAACAATGTAAAAAACTCGCCGACATCCTATTACATGAACACAATACAATACAATACAATACAATAGACACTCCATTGTTAACATTTTCATTCTCTACGTTTCGAGACTATTACTTTGCAGTCTACTTGCGAGTTGTAAATTATTACATGAAGTACGTTGGCAATATTCTGGTCACAACAGCTCGCTGGCGCAAAATTTGCAAATATTATTCCCACTGTTTGTCATTTCAAAATTTCGTAGCGAAGCCATTTAATTAAATGAATTAAAGTTCAAATAATCCTCACAATAATTGTTAAGTACTAAATGATTTTTAATGATTTTCAGTGTTTGGTATAATCTTTATGTATAATTGTATCGTGTTACGCAGAAATTGCCCTAATTATCATGGGTTTTTAATATTGATAGATGAATGTAGAAGGTATATTAAAAATAGAAGGAACACATTTCCTATAGTATAAATACAGACGCGCGGAAATAAAGTCAATCTTAGAACCATAAATAGAAATATAGAGGATATTTCATAAACTCCTGACTCTATTGCATGCAATTTGAATTTAATGAAACAAATTTCAATCTGTCATTCAGTTTCTCTGACTGAACATCTAAACATTGGTATCATCACTATCATGACAAAATACATTACACAGAGGGAAGCCTGCCCGACTAAATACTGACGGGGGGGCTAATCCACCGGTCGGGGACATGGCCACGTGGAAATTTTTCTATTTAATTTTGGGGCATAAATCTAGAATACTCCGCACAGCTGCACTAGAAAGGTGAAGCTAGATTAGTTTCAGTGCTGAGTTTTGGATAATAATGCTGGTTGCGGTTAGTTGTAGGTTTTAAGGTGGGGTGAGCATTTGGGATAGTCCACAAACTTTTCATTTTTGCCATAGACAAAGCACTACTGACACAACATTAAACTATAAAACATGTCGGCGATAAAACATGGATTGTTGGATAGATACAAATTTCCAATTCGTCGGTTCGCAACTTTGGATAGTTAGGCTTGTTAAGGCCCGGCAACGAGAAGAATCGTCTCTCGTGATCTTCTGGTTTGAAACGTGCAGAGCAAACCGTCGAAGTCTTCGATGCGTGTGGCATTGATAAAATCAACCCATTTTTTCCTCCGTCTTTTTAGACTCGGTGACGGTGTTAAACTTATTTACTCAATACAAGTCCTAGGGCCCTGGCTTTGGGGCAATAGGCCTTTTTCTTCAATGGTGGGGCAGAGGAAGGGGCCCAGTGGGGCAATGCCCCACCAGTCCATAGTATTAAAAAATGCCTTAGATGTGTCTCCACCTTAATTGTTTATAACCGTTTCCAAAGAGTATGTGAGAAATCAATCAACGTTTTAGAGGTTGCTCGGTAGACATAATGTATACTAAATTGTCTGGCACTCTTGTTAGTTTATCAAACACTTTCCGAGCACTGATCTGGATAACGCATCTATAGTATACAAAAATGAAGCCGGAAGTCGCCGGCCGCCACCCGATTCTGGGGTTCCACTTTTGTATAATTTGTATTACAAATGGTAGTTTTTCGCGTTTTTTGCCTTTGAGCAAAAAATTTAAATTTGGAGTATTATCACTTTATAGCGCCGCGAAACGGGATTTACAATTTTGAAGGAGTCGAGAGCCTCAGACTTTGTTTATCAACACGAGCTCGTTTTGATACTTTCATACAAAATCAACTCAAAATATACAAGAATTATTGTTACTGGACGAATATTCTCAGGAAATATTCTCAGGAAATATTCTCACGATGAATATTCTTGATACTCATACATAACAGACCTGACCGTGTAGCTCAGTTGGCAGAGCATTGGGCTAGTATTCCAAAGGTCGTAGGTTCGATTCCCACCGCCGGTGGCCAGGCATATTTTTCAAGCTTGCCCGTTGTGGATATAGACTCAGAGTAACATCACAAATATCATACTCACCAGCCTAGTCCCAGTCGTTCTGAAACAATTAAGCGCGAGGAAAAACGTGGATGTAGTACGAGACTGGGACTAGGTGTGACGTCACCGCTAAAGGTGCTTCAGAACGCCTAGCAGATTTCAGTATTTTTAATATGGCGGAAAATTTATATATACAAATAACCTTGTATTAAAATAGTTGTCCTGCATCTAAGGACGTAAATGAGCTTATATTCAATTATAAAATTTAAATAGCCAAAAATCTCAAATTTGATTGGTTACATAAAGGATATGTGCAGAGGAGGTACGACAAGCAATTAGCGAGTTGTCACGTGACCTCTCGACCAATGTGATCGCTCTATTTTCCATCGTGTTATCAGCAGAATTCGGACAGAAAAATTTGCATTCGACGGAAAATAAATCGAGAAAAAATATTAATATTAAAATTTTCTTGCAAAATTTCAAGTGTTGTAGTACTAGTGCTAAAGATCTGGTGATATCTGCAAAAATCCCTGAGGTAAACGTTATTTTCAATGTTATTTTGATGTTTGAAGCTAGTCGACTCCCCGCGACGTGTTGAGTCAAGTCTAAATATGTTTACAATGTTTAAAATGAAATATCTAGAATTCCCATGGTTCGATTTTCTTCATTTTTGGTAGTCATCAAGACAAAAGTATAAACTTTAGATCTGCTGGAATGATCCCGGTGATCCCTCGGCAGTTTTCAAGATATTGGCCGTTGCAGTGACTATTGTCAACTCGACGTTCGCTAAAATCGCGTCTAATACCTTGGAAAGAAAAGGCGCCATCAAAGATGATATTTTCAATGAATTTTTGTTAAAGTGTTAAAATATTATTTAGAAGACTTAGGAATTGTTTTAACATTTTTTTAGAATTTATATCTGTGCGATTTTCAAAGTTTTGTTGTCTTTGGCCGACGCGACTGGATTGTGTACGTATTTCAAGACGAGCTGATCGCCTGATACTGGAGTGTTTGTGTCAAATTGCAGGGCATTTTTTAAGAATTCGTCAATGGGGGGGGCATCTACAAAAAGGGACCATACTATACCGAGTATGGAGAAATGATAGATGGTTTGTTGGTAACAAAAAGTTTGGTGTGGTATCGCATTTAATAGTATGGGGGGGGGTCTGGGGTATTCTCCCCCAGAAACGTTTTGTATTTTTCTACCCCTATGACTACAATTCCCTGCATTTTCTGAAACAGATTTTTGGATATACAGCATTATATTATGCTTTAGATAGACTGAACCTTCAGTTAAGTACTTGCATAGTATGTTTATGTAGATACCACAACTTGGCAGTCACTCAGGGAGCCAGCTTGATAAACTTAGAGGGCCCGACGCCCACGAAGTGCCACCATGGTTGGCACAGAGGCTCCCCCTAGTAGAAGTGCCAAAGGCACGAGTCGAGGGCCGTATATGCACGAGTTTTCTGGGGGGTCCAGGGTATGCTCATCCGGAAATTGTTTGAATCTAGACTCTCTGAAATGCCATTTCCTGGACTTTGGAGAGAGATTTTACAGAATTCTGATGGTCAGAAAACGACATTGTAACATATCAGAGGCCCTGGCCAATGCTTTTGCTCAATCGCCTAAGCCTGGGGGCCCCCATTTGGCCCATTGGGATTGGGCGCCCCCGGGTTCTCCCAGTCTGAGCCCATTTCAAATACTTCTAGTTTCGAAATCAATTGGGTTTTTTTGGTGGGGGGGGCAAAATTATTCCCCCCCCCCCTCCCCCTTATAAAACACTTGGTTGAGGGCCCGTTGCCCCTTGCGGTCACTAACTTGTTTAGCCGAGCCTTCTAACAACTCAAATCTATAGGGTCTGGAAAATGCAATCCACTGGAAAATGTTTAAAATCTAATAAGGTATTTACAACACAATGTTTAGCATTAATTAAAGATAAAAGACAGTCCTGACATATTCGATAAGATTCACAAAGCAAATTTCAGTTACTAGAATATTAAACCTCCCTTCTAAATTCCATGTTTTGCTTATATTTTAGAGAAAAGGGACTTTGGCTGGGGGGGGGCAAAATGGTTGAGTGGGCACCATGGGGCCTGGGGGGCTTTGCCACCCCCCCCCCAGTTATATAGTTAAAAAATGCCCTGGGCAAATTGAGCT